ATAACCTGTGCCAGGTGATTTAAAAATTATATACCAGATGCAACATCTGTATATCTTTGTTGTAAGTCTAAGCTTAACCTTAAAATTCCCTCTGGCCCAATTCTGAATCTTTTTAATAATTTAGACCCTGGATTTGGTAAGTAAACAATGCCAATCTTTTGGAGAGGGTAAGCCAAATCCTCCACTTTTTATGAAAAAATTTTGGAGACCGATGGAAAAACAACGAGAGATAAAAGAGAACCACTTGAGCTTCAAACCAATGTAAAGAAGTGTAAGTTTTCTTTTCTACAGTTAAGACTTACTGCCCAACATCTGCTCAATCTTTTTTCCGATGAGTGATAAACTCTAGGCTTGTCGGCAAGTAGCGTATGAGAACTACCTCTAAACAACAAGTGCCGAGACTATGCAGTGAGTGATAAACTCTAAACCTGTCGGCAAGTAGTATATGAGAACTACTTCTAAACGACAGGTGCTGTTTTATTGTCTAGGTTTTTAGGTCAAATGCCAGCTTGTAAAGTTTTTTCTTGCGGTAAAATCTTTTTCAGAAAATATAGTTCAAGTGATCGTCGGAAAGAGTTCATCCGATTCTGAGATTACTGAATTAGAACAAGCTTGGAAAAAAGTAGTTCATAATTGGTTTGATATGTTGTTAGAGGAAAATAATGAAAAAAGTCAATTAACAGATTCAGAATACGAACAAGAAGAAGTTACAGTTCATTCTGTTAATAATCCCAAAGGCAAATGAAAGCTTGAAACTTTGTTTATCGATACACTAGATGTATCAACATTTATTGGAGATCTAAAGATATAAGTAGGTATTTAACTTATAATTAAAATTTTGTTATTACTTATAATACTATTGCTATTATATTTTATTTAAATAATAAATAGAACTATATATACCTCACTATTCAATACCAGATTTGTATCCGTTAACAAACTTTTTTAAAAATCACTAATATTAGAGTTTTAGAAATCATGTAGTTATAGAGTATAATTACTTAAAGAAAATCTTTTATACAAGTGCTTCTTTAAAACTTTCTAATCCTATTATGTTTGATCTTAAAGTCTGAATTGTAGTTTAGAAAATCTGCACTACAAATTTGGCATAAAATATAAACCACCCTAGTACTACCAATCTAAAAAATTTTGCTTCCTGGTCAAATTAAAGCTCAATATTAGGTATAATATAAAGTTAAAGCAAAATATCTAAATACTAACTCTAATAACAGTAGTGAAATTTTTAGATTGATAATATTAAGGTCTTGCAAAATATATAGTATAAATTATATACTATATATATATACTACTATATTAATTTCTTTTATATAGAAGATCTAATTTATTTTTTTATCTTTTTTATATCCAAATTTTACTACGTATATAGCAATTTCTAAAATATATAAGTATACTTTATATTTAAATTTATATAAGCAGTATAATTTTTTTTACTAATTTATTAAATATTTTAATTATATACTTAGCTTTGATATATTATAGTAAATTGAAATATTTCATATTTTTTATCTGGGCATAATAATTATTATGATTACAAAGTATTGTACTATGTTACTTTATAATAGTTGAAAAAAAATAACGAATGTGGAGTATAGTATATAATATTTATAAATTAGCAATTTTTATCTAATGTATATATTCATTTATTGTCAAAATTTTATTGAAATATGAATTTATACTTGTTACTTTTAAAAAACATTAAATTTGTAGCTTTCTTATAAAATTTATAAAAATAAAGATTTTATTATATATAATTATCAGCATTACTTGACTCTTTCAGTCATTTTTTTTACCACTAGATAGTAGTGTAACAATTAATTTTCTCTGTGTCTCATTGCTTCTGTGTTTGTCTAATTCTTTAAGTTGTCACTTATCTTCCATAATTGTACTATCGTAGTCATGTTAATCTTACCTTAGTAGTATTAGACATTATTATGTATTCTTGGTGGCTTAATTTATACAAGAGCGTTTATGCTCAAAATAGAACGTCTACATTCAAAATAGAGTGTATACGTGATTGTATTAATTTGTAATTATTGCACCTTGAGTAAATGTGAAATTTATAGCATAAGCATTAAGATCCCCATATTGACAATCTGTAAAATTAGAATGTATATAAGAGTGTGTTTTCATCTTTAGTTGAGGATAATGTTTACTCTCCCAAAATTCCTCAATAAATAAAGATTACATATATTCACGCTCTTTTTTTTAATAAATGCCTAATAAAACATGGATATCCGAATACTATATTTTATCACCCAATTCATATGACCCTTCTAACATCAACTATACAAAGCTTTTCCTTATGATGGTTACAGTAGTTCCAGTGAAATTTAATAAGTAAAAATATATAAAGATAAAACTTTTTTATTTATGCAATACAATACAGATTTGTTATGCGTAAAGTTAAAATTTTTTTAAACACATATACATAATCTATTTAAATAGTAATAGCGCAATTCTATAAACAAAAAATTAGAATAAAATATTATAGACAAACTAAGAACTTGTAATTAGATCGTTAAGATTTAAAATCAATTAAAGATCGTATATTTAACTTTTCATGAGATATAATTCTATGCACAAGCCCAATTTGGTGGTTCATAGTTTCAAAAATCATGGAATTGCCAAAAAGAAATCAGATTTAAAAAGAATAAATACAAAGTATTCGAATATTATCATAGTTTATTTTTAAAGATAGCATGATAATTGATAATTGCCCAACTATAAATTGATTTTTATTTTAAATTTACTAATATCTTAGATTATAAAGTTGATGAATCTTTGGGTACTAATTTTAATTGTCCAAAGGACATTACGAGAGAGTCATAGTGATTTGGTTGTGTGTGTGTCTGCAAATTAAGGGTTTTGATTGGTTGATTAATAAAAACAAACCATTTGCTCCGAAAATACCCATTGTCGGACTGATCCGTGATAAGTCCTTCGGACCTAAAATGGTTTCTATTTACCTAGTATAATATATCTCTAAATACAATACCTTGTTTTTCATAAGTACCCACCTAAACCTGATTCTAAATCAACCATTTAATTAATCTCTAATTCGTCACTTTCTAATAATACATATAATAGTAAAATGAAAAGTATTCTTGCAACTGATTAGATATCAGGCATATCACATATTTATTATGACCTTAATTCATATTCGTAATATTATTAGCTAGTATTATATTAGTTCAAGTGAAAAAATCTCTTCTAGTAAAAACTTCACTAGAATCACTAGATGTTTGCTTCCATTGTAATTAATATTAATTTTTATAATTTTTATATTAGGTTATTTGGTTATTTCAAATTTCAAATGACCATTGACCAATTCATTTGGTCATTTGGTCATGTTCATTTGAAACTGCCAACACTAGTTTGCAGACCCCTAGTTTAAATATACCCAGCCCAACCTGGCTCATTACACACCCTAATTTTATATATGAAACTACTTACTTTGCAATAGTAAAAAAATTTCCTTGCTAAATTTTGGTATAAAAAAAGCTTTGACGTGATTATAAGTTTATAACCTAATCTGAATATAATGTTTTGTTATTTTAAAAATTGTTGTTTTAATCAAATCTGATTGGTGCCGATCAGTGAAGTTCTGTCGGTGCTACTGGGGTAGTTACCCTAACCCCAGCCATTTTCCAAATAATTGATCAATGTATGAGGTAATCTATGAAAATTAGCCAATCACAACGAAGGACCGTATGCTAGATAGGGATGGGCAATTATACGATACCGTATAAAAAAAATAGTATAATAACCATATAGTTGGTATAGTATAATTATAATTATACTGTATAATTGGTATAATATATTGTGTAACAAGATCAACCAATAAAAATTTTTTAAATTTTATCATTAAAAATTGAAAATTTTACAAGTGACGATAATAATATTACTAATACAATATAGGAAAACGAAAAACTACAGTATGGAAACATTGGACAATTCTTACAGAAAATTCAAATAAAAATCAAGTTAATAATTAAACTGATGACCAAGATGAAGACCAAGTTGAAGACCAAGCTGAAGATCAAATAGAATATCAATCTGAAAATAACAAACCATATTCTCCTGTAAAATGTAAATATTGTTCAAAAAAATTTGATTGTGGAATTGCTACTCGAATGCAAGCACATCTTAATAACAATTGTTTGGAAGCACCAAAAAATGCTAAAACAAATTCTAAATCTCAAAAAAAAATTCAAACAAATACATTAATACTTTATACTTCTACTAGTTCACATACTTCAAAATGGTTAAAAACTATACCAATTAAAAATTTTTTAGATCATATAGATGAAGAAAAACAAAAATCTCTTGAATTTATATTAACACAAGCCTTGTTTGCAACAGGAGTATCATTTTCTTTTCTTAAAAATCCTTATATGATTAAATTTTTTCAACATATTCGCCCTGTATTTAAATTACCAAATTGGAAAAAGCTTGCAAATGAATTAGTAGATAAGGTTTATGAGGATGTAAAAAAGGAATCTGATAAACAAATTTTAGAAGCACAAAATTTATGTATGGTCTCTGATGGTTGGTCTAATATTAGTCAAGAATTCGTATAAAATTTTATTGTTTGTACTTCAAACCCATTTTTTTTGAAGCTATTTACTCACAAGAAGAATCACATATAGCAGAATGGATCGCTAATCAAGTAATTTGTCAAATGGAAGCAATTAATATTGAAAAATTTTCTGCCATTATAACAGATACAGCTAATATAATGAAAGCAGTATAGCATATTATTGAAGAAAGATACCTCAAAATAGTTTGTTTTGGATATACTTTGCATACTTTAAATTTATTAATTAAAGATCTTTTAAAAATTTTTGATATAAAAACAGTAATAGATAATACAACAAAGTTGGTTAAATACTTTAAATTACATCCACAAGCATTAGCAAAACTTAAACAAATTCAATCAAATAACTATAACAAAAAAATTGCTTTGGTTTTACTAGTAATAACATGATGGGGTACTCATTTTGAATGTCTTCAATTGCTTCAAAAATCAAAAATCGCAATAGAACAAACATTAATGGATGTAAAAATTCGTGAAACAATAGATGCAAGTCTTAGAATTTATATACTATGTGATGAATTTTAAGAAGATCTAGACTTGATAACAAGTATTTTATGACCAATTGTAGCTACATTAAAACTATTTGAATCGAATAGTACTACACTTTCATCTGTTTACTCTAATTTTAGAAAAATAATAAATATAATTCAAAATATTTCATGCAATTTTCTGACAAGATTCAAACTTGTATTGAGGCATGGTGGAATTATGTTTATTATATAATTATAATGGTTGCTTATATGCTTGATCCGCGATTTTTAGAAGAAAGCAGAATTTATAATATAGAGGCTATAGAATATAATATATTTACAACATTTACAAATCAAAAATTTGAACAAGAAAAGTCTGTAGAATTGTTTATTGAAATTATTAAATTTCAAAACAAAAGTTTTCCATATAATAATAATATTATTTGGGAATCTGCAACTATACTTAATCCAGGTAACTTTTTATTATTTAAATATATACTGTATATCGATATTGTATTATTTTTATAAATAATAATAACTATAACTTGTATACAAATTTAATAGCATTATGGTAGGAATCATGGCCAGACAGTAGCCTTAAACAACTAGCAATTAAAGTTCTTAAAATTCCAACTTCCTCTGCTGCAGCCGAACAGAACTTTTCTACATTTGGCTTTATTCACAGTAAACTTCGTAATCGTTTAAATAACAATCAAGTTAAAAAACTAGTTTATATCTATGAGAATCTTCAGATACATGTTGAAAAACCAGTAAACAACAAGACTAACATTAGAATTAATAATAACAAGACAAATCAAGAAATTAATCAAGAAATTTATAACGAAGATAACGAAGTAGAAGATATAATTTACACAGAAGGAATTTGTGAAAGTATCGAAGAAATTGAACAAATTTATTCATCGGATATTGATAATATTTCAATGATGGAATTGGAATTATTGAATAACTATTAAACTTACATCTGATAATATTGCTAAACAGTATAAAATCTTTAAAATTGTTATTATCGTTATACAGTAGTACTGTTTAAAACAATAATTCTCATGGTTTTTTTTTTTAAAAAAAAATTGTACATACATACGTTTGTACATGTGTAGGTCATACGTATTAAAATAACTGGTATTACTAAATTTATTCCAGTTTTTCTTGAAATACTACATTTGAATACACGAATATGTATATACATATGTATACGTAAAGTTTTTTAATACATATCAATTTTCAAATAGAATTCTTACCCGATAGTTTTCTTGTTCTTTTCTCATAAAATAAAAATTACAATAGCAGATAGTAGTAGAGACAAACAATGTACTGTATATATGTACTGTACATATGTATCTCTTATCCATAAGCAGTTTTGCTAGTGCAAGTCAATTAAAAATTAATAGCAATATTGGTCACGTGATTGATCTTAATGCAACTCATACCTATATATGTGGTTATTTTACGGTTATTATACGGTATAAAGCATAACGGAAGTTCGATTTATGCATTGTGGTTATACAAGATTTTACATATCAAAAATATAAGGAATAGGAGTATATCATATGACAACTCATCAAAAAATCGACCAATTTCTATGAAACTTTACCAGGGTGTTATACGGCCGCAAAGAAAACAGTTTGTTTAAACACATCTAACGCATCTAACGATTTGTGAGACTTTTATTAGACGTAGGTTTTCCTTAGTAAAATGGTAATAACTAGTAATAGTTTGTCCTTTCGCATTCGCAGGCGAGTATGTTAATTATTAAAATTGGTTTAGCATTTATGAAATTCTAAAGCAAGTTGATTATTTGATTCAAAATCTAATGATTTAGTTAAATCTATAAGCGTTTCTTCATATCTACTGTATATACAGTATTAATCGATAAGTTTCTCCATGTCTATGCATTATTTGGTTCAATTTCCAATGATTTAGTTAAATCTGCAGGTACTTCTTTGTATTTTCTCTTTTTTTTTTTTTTGTTAAAAAAAAAAAAAAACCGTTATTAATGCTCTATTTGATTTATTTCCACTATCAATTTTGGTGAAATATCAACCTCCTCTATTTCCTCAGGTTTTTCCTCATTACTTTCTATATCGTCGTTATCATCATCAAGGTCTTCTTTGGTAAGTGTATCCGCCTCTTTTTCGATTCGAGTTAAAAATTTTTGAACGTTTTTGAAAATTCCTTTTTTATAATATTCAACACAATGTTTGCAT